GATGGATAGATGGATAGATGGATTGTCGAATTAGATGGGAGAGTGTGTGCTTGGTTACTTGATCAGTCCGGTTAGTATTGCCATAGAAATTGTTATAATTGGCGCTATTCTGAGATCGTACTAGATCGGTCTATTTGGTAGTACAAGTCCGAACGGAACACGCTAGCGCGGCCTCGCGCGTTAAGAAGACCAGTCTGGTATGACTCACCTAAGCGCAACAATATAATAAACAGCAACATAATATATCATAAGACCTTTGACATAAGAGAGGGTAGCGTTTCGCCCCTTTGTGATCGTTTTCGTGACATGATCGTATAATCGATCGTTAATCAATCGTTTGGTCATGAGTGATTACGTTTTTGTCCGGGAAGAAGCTACTTCCGGAGACGGGGTGGCCTGGATCCGGAAAGGTAAACCCGCAGCGAAAGATCGCTAGCGCAGGAGCTAAGGGATATAATTGTGCACTTTTTAACAAAAGTATGAAAATTGGCACATGCGTAGTTAAAGATATGCACATTATGAGATCGGGTATCCATCTCCATCGGCATTATATCTGGGCGCCATCTAGACTTTCAAAATGGCCGCCATTAAAAACAGCCGCGCTGAGTCCCAAACATCCGAGTACAGATGGCATCAACAGAGTACTATGGTAATGATGGCGCGGAGAGTTATAGAGTCAGAAGCAACAGCCTCGTCACCGCATAATCTCATCGCAAAAGTACATATCTTACAATGCAAATTTGGAAATCGATAATCGATTTGGATCTCGTAATCCACAACGATGCTTACACGTCAATTTGTATACATTCTATGCATGTCCATGTCACGATGCAGTCTTGCTTTGCAGCGATAAAGGAGAATGAGAGAGATAGTGATCGAGAGAGATCAAGTGAAAGAGAGAGAGAGGGATCGGGAGAGAGAGAGATCAAGTGAGAGAGAGAGAAAAAAGAAAGAAAGAAAGAACGAAAGAGAAGACCGCGAGAGAGGGAGAGGGGCAGGAGCGAGTGAGTAGGCGAGCGAGAGAGAAAGAGAGATAGAGAGAGAAGGGGGAGAGAAAGGCGAGTTTTGTTGGTTGAATTCGATAAATTAGACGACCTTACCGAACCAAAACCAACCCGTCTCTGGAAATATCTTCTTCCCGGACAAAAACGTAATCACTCATGACCAAACGATTGATTAACGATCGATGGTAGTATGAATCCGAACGGAACACGCTAGCGCGGCCTCGCGCGTTTAGAAGACCAGTCTGGTATGACTCACCTAAGCGCAACAATATAATAAACAGCAACATAATATATCATAAGACCTTTGACATAAGGCTGTGTAGCGTTTCGCCCTTTGTGATCGTTTTCGTGACATGATCGTATAATCGATCGTTAATCAATCGTTTGGTCATGAGTGATTGCGTTTTTGTCCGGGAAGAAGATACTTCCAGAGACGGGTTGGTCTTGGTCCAGTAGGGTCGTACAAGATCGTTCGCCCAGATATAATGCCGATGGAGATGGATACCCGATCTCATATGAATGTACATATCTTAAACTACGTATGTACCAATTTTCATACTTTTGTTAAAAAGTGCACAATTATATCCCTTAGCTCCTGCGCTAGCGATCTTTCGCTGCGGGTTTACCTTTCCGGATCCAGGCCACCCCGTCTCCGGAAGTAGCTTCTTCCCAGACAAAAACGCAATCACTCATGACCAAACGATTGATTAACGATCGATTATACGATCACATCACGAAAACGATCACAAAGGGGCGAAACGCTACACAGCCTTCTGTCAAAGGTCTTATGATATATTATGTTGCTGTTTATTATATTGTTGCGCTTAGGTGAGTCATACCAGACTGGTCTTCTTAA